AATTAAAATAAGTCAGGGCTCATTTCCATCGAAGAAAATAGGCGACACATTTGTTTGATTGTATGCACCGAAGTATAAAATAAATAATACTGTTAACAATTCGAAACGAAGAATGAAAACTTCCAATTTTCCAGAGACTTTTATGAACAATTGTAACTTAAGGTGTGATATGAACGGTGTGATTCGATGATTTTATCAACACCACTCGTATGAATCACATTCTGAAATGTGAACGGAAGATGTGAATTTGCGCGGAATGTGTGTGAAAGAACCTCTGCCGTTGACGAGATTGATAGCGTTTGACCATTCCACTTCTTTTGCGGCTATTTCTTTTTGTCCATGAGAAAAATCACATCATTGAAATTTACGGTGCCGACCAAGCACCTTTTTTTCTTCTTTGCAGAAATGAATAGAAATTACAACAATTTACCGGTTTTTGTTTGATAGCTCTCAGCTCTAGAACGATGATGATACTCGTTTGACGTAATAAATGTGTATAATTTTGATATATTGTAATGAAATTATAGTTTTCAGTCACGGTTATTTGGGTTCATATCAACAAGATACGGAGAGATATTCTAAATTCTTGTGATTCACATTCAAAACACTTTGTTTGTTGATGCAATGCACGCAAACACTACTTTTCCACTATCTTCTATCTAAAAATTTTGGTTTTTGTTTCAGAGATTGTGGAATATACAGTTTGAATCACGCAGTGTTCAAATCGACAGAAAAAAACAACAACAGCGTTCTGTGAGCTCTATTGTTTGTTTATAATACCTGTTGCACCTACAATCTACATTGACATGCACCTCAATTCTTATAAAAATTCGATATTATTTTATGAGAGATTGCATGAGTGTGTGTGTTTGTTTTTTTTTATTGTTTCTCTATTGTTCTGTTCGAGTTTAGTAAATATTACAAAACATCATCCGGTCGAAAAAAAAGTGCATATAAAATCGAATGCGTGGGAGGGGAATCGCTCTTAAACGAATGTGTTAAACGTTATCAACACATAGCAAACAAAGATCTATGATTCTCTGAAAAATGGCTTGGCTAAATACTAATTATATACGAAATTCAATTCAAATTTAGAAAATATTAAATCTTTCTCACTGAAAATGCTCTGAATTGTGCCAAGCACAAAATGTGCAACATAAAAATGCCAAACTCATTATGCATTCGAAACATACGCTATTCGCTTTAATCGTGCATAGAGTAGAACGGTAGAATCACAATAGCATTGCGTATTAGCGCCTAAACACATTGGAGGGGTAAATTATAAAGAAATCAACCCTTGGTCAATGTACTTCTAACCAGTTAACACGTGTACCACAATCAAATGGGTGTTGAACTTGAAGAACAAATCGATGTGACCGCTTTTCACTTATTCAACATTAAAATTTACACACCATTTCACTATCACGTCAAACGGTTGACACGAAACAAATCGCTTTGCATAAAATGGCATAAAAATCGGGTCATTGAAATTCTACATTTGCAATTTAACTCTTACTCGTTGTTTTTTTTATTGCTGTTTTGAAATATTATTCATAAATTTATACTTTCGCTTTTGACAATTGTTGAAATACACCAATCCGATCGATTAATATACTTTTTATGACCCTGTATGCGAAAGTTGTTAGAGTAAAAAACATACTAAGGGCATTAACACGATGCATTTTCCGATATTATTCAAGATTCGTTTCAAGAATGGAGTTTCCGCTTTTTTGTACTTTGAATCGTTCACTTTTATTTTTTTAATTCGATTTGTTTTTAATTATTTTCACTTTGTTTCATGAGATCAGCGACAATTGTCGATTTTGCTTGAGCAGAATTTTTAAATCAAATTCGATATGCTCAAAATGTTCATGCCTCAGCGTGAGAAATTCCGTAATCAGCAAAAAAGACTCGGTCAATTCATTCCATGTATTAATTTCAAAAGAGATATTTCGAATCAAGTAAATAATTAATTGCACCAAAATTACGATGAAATCGAAACATAGAGCCGACCGAATGTTTTGTCACCAATACCTTTTATTAATTGTTGATGATTATTTATTCGTTGTCCCAATGACATGAATTCTAGTTGTTGAGTGTTCAACCAAAAAAAAATCACCTAATTATTTGTTTGTCTTCAAACGAAAAAGTGCCGAAGAGAAGAAAACTAAATGAATTTTGTCATTTCAAACAATTCACCATTTATGCTTGAGACAAAAAAAAACGATGTTGCTCATGAAAGAGAAATCATGAGAAGTATAATTTTTCGTAGCTCGAAGAAAAAAGACAAGCACATTAAGATCAACAGTGCTCAAAACAGGCTCTTGTTTGCGAAACCTAATTTTTATCGTTGTCTTTTTTTCTTCATGCATCAAAACAGTATTTGCGAAACGACCGTAGCGGACAAGGGAATTAGTTTTTCGCTTGGAGTTCTCAGGCAAAAATTCAAGGTGAAACTTTCATCAGCATCGTAGTTTACCAAATGAATGGATATTTTTCTCTTTTTTCATCATTTAACGACCTTAGGAAATAATGAATGGGAATTTGTGTTGAACTAAAGAATCAAAATAAATTCCGAAAAAAATCAAAATGTGGGAAACGATGGTAATGAAATGATTTGTGGTGTGACTTTCGCCCAAAAATGATAAAAACCAGTTTGAATGACCCCAACACCGTTTGATTTGGATAAGGAATTCATTCGGTCAAGAAAGAAAGTAAAAGAAAACAATTCAATAACAATAGGAAATAATAGATGAAAATTAACCCCACACCATGATGATAAAAGCAAATGATGGTGATTATTATGTTGATGATTGTAATTCAGGTGAATGAAATATTAAGATTGGGATCGGAATGTGTTGTGAGATTTTATGAAATGAGATGTTTTTTTAGATGCAAACAAAAAGAAAGATGTTCTTACTGTCGCATGCTTCCCCAACGACGGTTAGGCAACGTTTCGTGGCTGCAAATAAATTGGAAAAAAATAAAACGAAAAAAATCCGATCAAAAAATCAAAATGATTAAAAAATGCGATGTCTCTCAATTTTGTTCATTGTCTTTGTAATGTATGCCAAAAATTGTGATTGATTTTACTTTTGTATAAATGGAGCTGCAATCTGGAAAATCTTTTCCCGCAAAAAAAAACAAAAAAAGTAAATTTACCTTGTTGGCGTTCGTCGTAGGCTAGTGCGAGACCATGTGTGTCGAGACAAATTACCACCACTGTACTCATCATTGTTGCTAAAGCAAAAAGGAAAACGGTTTTAGTATGAGAAAAATGAATCGAATGATGTCAAACTCACTTATTTGGGGTGGAATTGATGTGAGGCGCTAACACCAAGTCGATTCCTCCGCTGCTTCCGCTCACTTGATCGCTTGTGTCATTTTCTCCGAAACCCTCAAAAGATTCACCGCCTGCAAAAAAAAATGATGTCACAATTTCGGTCGAGCTCAAAAAAAAATCACACAAAAATTACCCGTACTCGGTGGACTGGATGGAACTGGACTCGAATCATTCGATGTGACAGAAAGCACAAACGATGGACGCTTTGTAGATACTTTACTTGGCATCATCCTTTAGAAAACCTGCGAATAAATCAACATCATGAATTTAAAAAAAATATATTGGTTTACGACATTTTCGTTTCTTTGGACTCGTTGCCCAAAAACAACAACATCTTTAATACTTTGCACACGATTGATACATCTTATTATTTTTGCTGATCGAATACGTGACTTCACGTACGCGATTGGATAATAATTCGCGTTCGTGTCTCTGTTTCAAATTGAACTTTCTATTTCTTGTTTTTGTTTCGTGTGCTTGCTATTATTTCGGCTTTGCCATTTATACTTCTATATTTGGATATGATGCGGCAAATGTGGCAATACGACACACCATACATTCGAATTAAAAACACACACAAAAAATAATATATGCTATACATTTTTAGCATTCACTGTCACCATTCGGCATCGCACTCATTTTTCAATTGCATATTTTCAAGTAAAAAAAAATGACAAACACAATACGATACTTCTATAAATTGATCACAAATGTAAACGATAAATCACTAGTTTGTTTAGCATGAATGCCGTGACAGCTTCAGACCATATTTTAATTGAATGATTTTATGAAAAGTAGAAATGATGTGAAACCACGCAAAGAAGATTTCATACCTTTTAACAGTAACTATTTCAAATTTTTCTACGATTCCGTCAATATATCAATTCTGACTGAAATTTTAATGAAAACTATTTGCGATGCGATTTTTTTACAATTTTTTTAATGAGAAAATGTAACTAATGACAATTGTCATTTAACGATGATTAAAAAATGCGTTCTTCATGCGAATGCTTATCACAAAAGGATAGTAGGATGAGAATTCGGATTATGTTAAGAATAAATCCCGAAAGAATTAACGTCAACTCAACACTAGAACTACATGAATGCTCTCAGGTAAAACGCCATTTGACTTTTTCCAAATTATTTTGTCATTTGTGATGTTTATTTTGTCTTTTTCGTTCTTCCGTCGTTGGTGTTAAAGTTATGACAAGAGTGCATGAAACAAAATATAGCTGTTATAAAAACAACTTATACTATTTTCGATCTATTCAAATGTATTCTTGGGAAATGTTTATGTTGTCAAAAGAAAGTGACAATAAAACAATATTTCTTTGAAACATTTTTCTGATTACTTTGAATAGAACAGAGAGCTTAAGAGCAGGTACCTGCTTTGAATATGCAAATCACATGCAATGCATCTATGTTTTTTGCATTTGTTTGCCTAGGAAACGGCAATTAATCTGTACACACATGTGGGCCTTTGTCAAAGACTTACTTTTTGTCTTTCTTTATTTTATTGTAAAAAAATATGGAGATAATAAAGTATTTTACCCATTTTCTTTTCGTTCTATAATGCATTCGTTGTGAATTTTTTTTTCGTGAACAATTCGATTTATGTGAACCTCACTCACTCGATCATTTCTTGTTTAGCTTTGATGACGATAACAACGTGTGATCGCTCTCAAATCATTTTGACTTTTTGTCTGCTGCAAATAATTTGTGAAAAAGGTTTTTTTTTTTGCGTGGAACTTAATCAACGAGTTTAATTCATTTTCTTTTAACTGTTTTTTTGTGATGAATAAAGCCAAAATGATGGAATTCTTTTTGCAGTACATCACGGCTGATATAAAATATAATTTTTGGAGCGACGAGGATGGCCACCAATTTCGTGAGGTATGTTTAATTGAAAATGTGTTGAACAATTAATTTACAAAAACACGGACAGAAATAATTTTGTTGAAAAAAGTCGATTAAAGTTTATCAAAGATTTTCAAAAAAGTTAAAATAGTGTGAAAAAGTTTGACTCTAATCAATGAATTTTTCTTTTAAATAGGATTGGGTAAAGTGTCGCCTAAACATAAAATATCTGGATTCGCCCACCATTCAAATCAGTTGCTATGCCGTTAATCATTATGAAACGGTTCCGTTGAATGTTGATATCAATTTTGCCGATTTTCGTTTTGAACGAGCCGCTGAAGCATCCGGCACGAAATCAAATCTATTCGTTCTGACTTGGACGCATAATCATGAAATGAACGAATTTTATATTTCCATCGACAATGAAACACAATACAAAAATTATGAAATTTATCTTAACAACTTGATGAAAATTTGTCGAATCGCCGAAAATGGTAAGTTTTAATATCAATTTTTGAAACTTTTCTTTTCAATTAATTGATTTTTCTTCGTGAAATTGTTTTTATAAAATCAACTTGATCTCTGTAAAAGAATGAATATTGTTTGACTTTTTACATTGAGATCACCATACAATTTTCCATAATTTATTTCGAGTTTTGCTTGATTTTAACAATTTTTTTTTTCACATCTCTCCACCCCCATAGAACGTTTAGAGGCGCAGCCCGTTGAGCCATTGTCGGTGTCATGTCAAAATATTCTCAGTTCATCGCTTTCATTATTTACAACATCAACAAATGCAATCGAAGATGCTATGAACGATGAAGAATCAAATCCAAAAAAGAACAATGGAAAATGTCGATTCGGTTTGTCGAATATGAAAAATGCAACAAAGAATGCGGCAAAAAAGTTTAATCGAATGTTTGTAAAGGCAAAAACGAGACTGATGCAAAAACCATCGTTCAAACATTTGGTGGATATTTCAATATCGTCGGCTAGCACCCAATTCACTGACACATCGTATGTCTGCAATGACGATGACTTCGAAGAGATCGATTTGAATGAAAACTTCGGATTTTCATCAGAAAGCATAATGCTTGTGGACACTTTGAATCATCATAATAATGTCAAAGAGAATCGTTTGTCTCACTATTCATTCAATTCGACAGCAACAGCATGCACTGAATTATCAACAACCATTGCAAACGATTCAATCAATCAAAGTGTTGCAGAAACAACAATAAATAACTCACATTCGATGCAACAAATTTTCATTGAATCGATTGCCGATTTGCATGTGATTTGTGCACAACATGAAATCAAACCGGTCGAAATGATCGAAATGCAAGAAGTTGTTCGGGAACGAGCACCGTCCAGAGTAAAAATAGCACAACGATTAAAATTGTGCGATAGTATTTGTGAGATACCACCGGACAAGGAAGATATCGATAAAAACGATCGAGATGATGATGTTGCGGACGATAGAAAACCGGAGAGAATAACATACAATGATTTATCGGTTTGGTGGGAAAATGGTGCGAAAGAAAAAAGAGACTTCCAGTCAAATCGCTATTTCAACGAAATAAAAACCGAAGAATCGTTTGCAAAAAAATTCGCTCAAACATATCGGCACATATATCAAACGATTATATCAAATTCAACATTTCTTTTTGCTTTTTAGCATTATCGTTGGTCTCTTTTCAGTTTTAAGTAATACACAATTCGAATCAAATTTTACCGCTTAAAATTGATGAACGAGTTGTAACAGCTTCAAAATCATGTCGAAAGCTCACTATTCGGTCAGAATATTGCAGTTTTTTCATTTTCATGAGACAATTCACCTTCTTTTTATTCAGATCATATTGATTCAACTCCATTTTTTTGAAAATAAGAAAAAAGCAGGGAATTCACTTGCTAATTTCATTTTGTTAAAAAAAACACTCCTAATTTAGTTTATTTATTTCAACGAAAACTAGATTATAAGTTTTAGAGCACAATTTATGAAGTTCCTGCTTAATTTAATATCACCAAATGATCGATATGTTTAATGTCGTTTTTTCTATCGCTTGATCGAGGAGAAATCTCCAAGCAAAAACTCACTATTCGTTTGGAATATTGCAGATTTTTTTGGCTTTTTGGAGGAAATTTCTCCGGCAGTTTAATTTTGATTAAGTTTCCGATTCAACTTTATTTTCTCAAACGAAAATAGAGACTTGAGTCAATATTATGTGATTTTTTTCCAGTCAATGGTTCACTACTTGGATAGGAGTAATGATACTTTTTGCGTTGGAATTTTTTTCATTTGCTTTGGACTTTTTTGGTCAGTTTAGCAAATTTAAAAATAAAATGTATCAATTTAATTGGTTGGTAGGATAAGAAGCATTAAGTAGTTCGTAAAAAGTGCAATATATCTTTAACTTGAATAATTTAGGAAAAAAATGGAGAAAAATGTGGAAATGGTTTCAAGTATCGCGCGAAAGAAGATTCGAATCGAATTTATAAATGTTAATTGATACACGAGTCACGCTCAGAGAGAGACTCAAAGTTTTCTTTTATCAAATGCTCAATATTCCAAGTGAATAATGCAGATTTTTTGATAAAAAAGAAGAGGCGACATACTGAAACCATTTCTCACAATAATTTATTTTCAATTCAAACAGATTTTTCGGCGTAAAATTTGTGAATGAGTTGATTTCAAGTCGATTTTTTTAAAAATTGAAATCACATCAAAACAAGACTTTTGATTGTGATTTTTCGTCAAATTTTCACCATTTGGAATGAATAGTGTTACATTTTGATATTAATCGCATAACAAATTGAAAAAAAATAAAAGAAAAATTTGAAGAAAAAATACGGTTCCTTTTTATTTTTGGTCATCAAATTTTTTTGTTTCGCCTCTATGTTTATTTTAAATTATGTTCTTTCTTTTGTTAAGAAGTTTTACCATAAAGTAAAACACACAGCCACGTTTTTCAGATCAGAAAAGTTGTTTGAGCGTCATAAAAAAATGTTTGTCTAGTCATAAACATATTTTCACCCAAAATGCTGAGGCGATAAAGCAACGAAATGAGTTGGCAAAAATGCAAATTGAAAAAAGAATTGCAAATCCGACAAAACAATAGCCCGATTTAGTTCCCACCGAGATGTTGGTTTTATTACATACGCAGGTAGATATTTTTGTGTGCCGAAAAAAAAGATAAAATACTAATTCGTCCGCCTATGTTCTGGAGCAAAGAATTGTCACAACAAATCGACAACAAAATGTCCCGGCAACATAAACTAATTTCATATGCCTGTGCGGCGGCAGGTAGCAAAATGCAAATTGCAATATTATCAGTTCGTGTAAAAACTTCACTTTTTTGTCTAAAAAGAACAATAGAACTTAATTGGTATACAGCGTACTCGTTCACTCTAATGTATGGTGCCTGTTGAGCGAAGAACATAATTTAACAAATCAAAAATCATACACGATTGAAACGATATTGCAATCAAAACAATTCCAAATGATATTTTGGGTGTCCTTATTAGTCTCGGCGTATTTTTCCAATTGAACCGGCACCTGTCGTCCACCGCGCCCTTTATTAGTCTGTATGAATTATATCATCGATTGTTTGGCACAAACAATTGGCAAATAAGACATTGTGAATTTCTCAAAATTTGTTATACGTTGTTTGACTCTACTACAGATCACATCTAACTACTCGAAGAAAATTACAATCATTTAAATTTTTGATCGTTTCTTTTTTTCAAACGAATTCCGGAGAAAATAATTTTTTATTGTGATAAATAAGTGATTAATAAAAAAAAATGGAGTACTTTTTACATTATATAACAGCGGACATAAAATACAATTTCTGGTGCGAAGAAGATGGCCACCAATTCCGTGAGGTAAATTTAGTGATCGATTTTTTTTTTAGAAGAAAGTGTAATTTGATAGTAATCGTGTGAAATTGACAGCCGCTTCACACAGAGTTAATTAAATTTTAAAACTTAAGTTTCTTTCATAACGAACGGTCTTCACATACTCATTAAAGAAATGGATAAAATTGAAAAAGTTTGATTCTAATCGATAAATTTTTCTTTTATATAGGATTGGGTAAAGTGTCGCCTAAACATAAAATATTTGGATTCGCCAGCCATACAAATCAGTTGCTATGCCGTTAATCATTATGAAACAATTCCGCTGAATATTGATATAAATTGTGCCTCGTTCCGTTTTGAACGAGCTGTTGAAGTGTCTGGCATCAAATCAAATATATTCGTTCTCATTTGGACACAAAATAATGAAACGAATGAATTTTATATTTCCATCGACAATGAAACACAATACAAAAATTATGAAATTTATCTCAACAACTTGATGAAGATTTCTCGTATCGCTGAAAATGGTAAGTTTTTTTTAAGACTTTGTCTTTTTTTCACATTGACTAATTGTTTTTTAATCTCTCTCAAAATAGAACGTTCAGAAGCCGATCCCATCGAGCCATTATCAGTTTCATGTATTCAAAGTATTCACAGTTCATCGCTATCATTGTTCATCACATCAATATACATCGAAGATGATAAAATGACTAATGATAAATCAATGGCGAAGGCAGACAATGAAAAAATGCAATCGAGTCTATCGTTGATGAAGAGAGCCACAAAATATGCGGCCAAAAAATTACGCCGAATGTTTACGAAATTGATGAAGCCATCATGTAAGCCTGTTGAAACTGTTTCAAGCTTCACCGCAAGTACTCCAGCTATTGATACAAATGGCGCCTATATTAACTTTAATAGCAATATCGACGATTTTGCGGACATACATTTGAGTGACGAGTCAAGATTCTCGCGACGAAGCACAATGGCTATGGACAATTTGCATCATAAAAATATGAAAAAGAATCGCTTATCTAGCAGCTCTTTTGATTCAACCGAAACAACAATGACCACATTAAGTGCAGTAAGCACTGTTACGCGTGATGTGATTGCCAATCCAATTGTGAATTTTGATTTGATTTATGCACGAAATGAAAGCGAATTGACAATAAAAGAGCCAAAAGAAGGAAAGAAAATTTTCCGGAAAGGAACACCGTACAAAATGAGAATGTCACATAAATTGGCATTGCGTAATCAAATGGCTGAACTACAGTCGAATGAGAGGGAAATCGCGTTTGAATCGAATGAAAATAACGAACGGTTGGTTCCGACGTTGCCGGAAACTAAATCGATTTGCATGAATGAAATTGATCCACAGTCAAAATCAGAGTCAATTTCATATTTTATTCGAACGGAAAAGAAGAAAAAATCATTTGCGAAACAGGTGGCGCAAACATATCGACAATTATTAAAAACAATTGCTTCAAATACACCATTTCTTGGAAACGCATAATGATTAGTTTTATGTTTTAAAAATTGGTTGGTTTAATTCAATTTGGTAGTGATTAGATTTAAGCGCTTCAACTGAAAATTATTGAATAAGTTAATATTTGAACGAATGTTACAAATGACTACTACAAATATATATATCTGTTGATTTTTTATCCGAATTTATTGATGTTGATTTTTTTTCGTTCATCAATTTCTTTTATCTTTTGTTTAGTTTGAAAAAAAAAAATGAAACTGCTCATAATTACACTTAATTCGATAAGTTATAAATGCTGTAATTGATGACTATAAAGCACTAAAATAGCAAATCATATATCAAGGTCAATAAATCCAATTTCATTGAGTTGACAATTTAATGAATGTTTCATTAGTTTTTTTGGACGAAAATTAAAGTCGATCGTTTTTTTAAGTAAACAAACTCATCCTCTTGCGACATAAAAAATGAATTAATTTCGTGGTAAATACTTTTAGGTAAAAGGGTAATTTTTCCGTTTCATGAAAATTACAAAAAAATCCCATTTTACTCGTCGGTGATACCGAAAAGATCGATTATAATTGTCTCATAAAATAGGTCATCATATTTGACCTTTGCACTCATTAACGATTGCAATAGTTTCTTTTAGTGATGTGCAACCATAAAAAATCGTCCAACCATGATATTCTAATATTCATGGGATTTGATTTGAATTCATTATTTGGTACAAAAACTCAATTTACACGATTCTATCTTCTTTCGTTGTATATGAGTTGATTATACTATTTTCAGAACAAGGAAAGTTGACAAAATTGAAATGTAAATATGAAAAAAAGATAATAAAAAATAATTTCAACAAAACTGAATTGTTTTCGTTGAAATCATAAACATTTATAAACAGGGCGGATGAAATACAAATCTAGCTCACCCGCTGTTGTTATTGAATGAGAAATAAGTAAAATCCCGTAAGTAAAATTATTGCATTTGTTTCAATGCAACACTGAAAAACGATAGAAAATGTGAAAGATGGTTGATTTGAATGAAGTTAGATGTTCCACCGTGAAGATACAGAACGGGACGAACACCAGGAAGCCAAAACGGTGAATATATATCCTTGTGTGAGTCGGTGGCATATGCGCACAATCAATCATCTTATAATCGTGTTTAATGTGCAACAGCTGAAGCACACAAGACTCGTCTAGTGTTCTTGCACATATTTCATTTGACGCATTATAAATGGGAATATTCAGCACAATGTTCTGATAATTAGATGCTGCCTGATGCTTCACTTAATGTGTCTGTACAGATGCGAAACCGTTCAAATTACCAACTATCGAAGAAAATCGTAAAAATATGAGCACGTGCTTGATGCGCATCATTGAAATGCTTGAGCCCATACGACTGATGAGTCAGTATGTGTCATGTAAGTTTACATTGCATTGAAATAGAGGTACACAGGAAATAGCGGGAAGATGAAGATGAAGAGCGGGAGAGAGAGAGAGAGAGTGAAGAAAAGAAAATAAAAAAAACAACGAATTTTTGGTGCTTGTTCGTCTTTCCGTAGTTGTCTCAATTTCAGGAAGCAATTGAATTTTAATATAATTGAAAACGGAAAGATCACCTTTTGCTGAAGTGAATATCAAAACAGTTGCGTAAATTTTTTCATATGAAAACGAAAAAAAAACATCTGGACTCAATGTTCGGGTGCATTTTTATTCGAAATCTTCAATCAATTCTTAGATTTCGAATAGATTTCCTCTTGAAAAGATCACATATTTCCAACGGGATTTCAAAAAACGTTGGTCACATTAAACACAGATGTTTTATGTTTTCCTGTGCGTGTGCACATCGAGCAGGTATACACTTATACATTATTTGTTCCTGTTCGAAAAATGCATTTCGATTCACTATTGTAGTGGTTTTCTCTTTTATTCATGAAATTTCTTTCTTCTCTTCAAACAGACGGTGAACTTCTGCCAACACATTTAACAACAATCAATTCAAACAATCGACATATTTCGATGCTATCGTCGGCTGGCATTTGCTTCAAACAATGCAGAGTATTTTGACGATTGGTGCGAATTTAATTGAAAACATTTGCATACTGTTGTTGTTTATAAGCATCATTATCACACTGACAATTTGATTTCACATTAATTTATTCGAAATACAATTCGCGGCCGCACACACACACACACACATAGAGTTGTAGACACGTTTTCAACCTTGAGATATAAATTTAAAACAATCACGGGTAATGTGAATGCAAAACGAAAGAAAGAACGCAACAAAAAACAAATACAGAAAGAGAGAAAGAGAGAGACTGAAACCAGTTTACAAAACAGCGGCAACAAATCTCATCGCACAATTTTCGAAAAAAAATTCAAGCAAGAATTGCAATGGAGATTTTTTTTTTAACGAAACAAGAGCATTCGAGCATTTGCGAAATCTTTTAGCAAATAAATAAAAGAACCGTCTGCGCTGCGCTGCGCTGTTCGAAGAAGAACGAAACGAAGAAAAATAATCGAAATACTTTCCAGACGGTTGGTTGCTTTATTCGTTCGTTGCTGAGAGAGAATGCCTCTTGTTCCATGCAATATTTTGCATGACATTTTTTTTATTGTGTATATTTTTCGCTTTTCCCATGCGGTAACATAAACTTGTTTCTTTTGATGATTAAAAACACAAACAATAAAGACAACAACAGCATACACGTAACAACTAATTGCAATCCAGTCAAACAATGAAAACTGGGCGTACATATGTGCAAACGTAACTCACAAACAGAATTTCAATGTAAACATTTTCACACACACCAAGTGCTCTCACATTATCAAAATTACTTTAATTAGACGTCCATAGTTTTGGACACAACTTTTTTAATGACCGTGATTATCGGTGCTATTTATCGGTGCAACGTGACGACGTTCAATTCTGAGCACTGGACTATGGAAAAGGACAAATTTGGACGAAAATTGAAATAAATCAAAGTGATGAACACATGGCGCGAGAGGAGGAGGAAGGAGATAAAACCAAATTTAAGTCACTGAATTTCCAGATGAAGAAAAACTTCGGAATTGAAAAATCAGATTAAAAAGAACTGAAATGGAGGCAAGCGATTAAAAATTGGGCAATAAATCGATGAAATAGGCAAAAAGGTTGATGAAAGGAATTTATGAGCACATTCAAATCAACGCCGACTTTATTTATGTTGATCGCTCTATGTTTTTTTTCGCTTGAATTTCGTATTTATCAAACGAGATTGCGGTAGAAATATAAACCATAAACTGATAATAATTTGTGGGTGGATTTTGAATTGATATCTCTTGAAATTGTTTAAAAATAGATAAATGAAAAATACCGACGATATGATGTATTTTTCACATCATCGATTTGAAAGCGATGGATGAAAAAAAAGGTTGAAACCAACGAGAAAAAAAATCAATTCGAAAATCGAAATATTTACGTCTTTATTCGAATTCGGTAATTTTACGGTTGTTTAATTGCTTTGAAAGACATTATATTTTTCAATGATTGGTGCAGTCATTTTCAATCCGAATTTTTTGCCAACAATCCGTGCTTCGATCTACAAAATTCAAATTGATTTTTTTTCTCATACGTACAAAAGCAACTGTTTTTTGTCATGCTGACGTGAAATAAAAAAAACGGATCGTTAAGAGTCTTAAATTAAGACATTGTTTTAAAATTAATCAAAGTTGGCATCGTATACGTTGGTTTCTGCATACGTGACAGGCGACTAGTCATCACAAACAAAAGGGGCATCATTTGGCATGCATCGACAAAAACTGGTCGTCAAGTTCAAGATCATGCGGAAGTGCAGCGATACGATTTTAATTCCGTATCATTTCAATATTAGTTGAATTGATTTAAAAAAAAATCTCATTTCGTGAATTAAAAACAAGCACGTCATACATTCATGTACAGATGACGACGACAGCGACGACAACAATGATCATTTTTAAAATGTAATACGACGTGCATTTCACTTTCTCATCCAAGTTGAACGAAATGCTCATATAGAAAATAATGGAATCGTTACATTTGTTTCGATCATTAAATAATATTTTCAGCTGATTTTGATTTGTCGGTTTCAATTTCAAGTGTGTGTGTGTTTCTTTCTCGTTAAATTGATTTGATTTCCTTCTCTCTGTACAAGTATTTGAACTTTTTCGTTTCATGGTTGATGGAAATGTACTTTTCTTTCGTTCAAATTAAACTGGAAGTCAATGGCCGGCGAATATAAATCGAAAAAGACATTCACACAACTTTCGATCGATCGAAATGAGAGAAAAAATGTTGGGCTGCTGTGCAGTAGTAATAACAGTAGCACAACAGTGCGCGAAAATTGAATGGGCCCCGAAGAAAATTGAGTTGACCACTTTGGAACCAATCAAAAGCACATACAGAGAGAGAGAGAGAGAGAGATCTATATACGTGAAGAAACAATGCGTGAAGAAGCAGCAAGAAAAAAGAATTACAGAAAGCATGAAAAAAGGTAAATCTAAAATAAATTTGCGATGTCGAACAAAAGCGTGTAGAGAAAGAAGAAAATTACAACTTAAATTGCTCGTTGAACCTTTTTTTTCTCTTTTTTTCATTCATTTCAGCGTACACATTCTGTCTCAGTCGGGCTCATATCATCAATTGAAACAATTCAGTTCCAGTCGATGGCGTTCCAATGTGCGTGTGCCTTCCTTTCATTTCGGCTTCACACATATCTTGACTTTGCAAGACTTTTCGTATATGTTCATGTTCTGGAATGTTTGTCAATTCTTCTCTTGTTTTTCTTTTCTGTTTTATCCGATTCATGAGTAGAATTCGTGTTGTTACTTTGAAAGCGTTACGAAGCGAAATATTTTTCTGAATTTTCTCATCCGTTTCTCTCGTTTTTCTTTTCTATCTTCATTTGATCAATGTTTTGGAGTCGTTTACTCCGAATTTGGCCGATCTTATCGCAACGATACAGTCTTTTTTCTCTCTTGAATAAGACTAAAAGTTTTTCATTCAGAGTAAGATTGGATGCCGCTTTGAAAAAGCCAATATGTAAAATTAACAATCTTAAAAATTACATACATGGTCGGTACCGTTCATTGCATGCAACATAGGCGAACAGGAAGACGTCACCGTAATAACAATGTTCTTTGTTGTTGCTTTTGTTTTTCTCTCTCTCTCTCTATGCTCGTATGGAACAAAAACCCAAAATTAAAATCAACATCGACGGTACATTGGAGAAAAAAGAATTCGAGGAAATAAGAGATAGACCGGCTATAAGATAATTGAGATGGAACGAGAAGGGACACAGCAAAAATGTAAATATGATACACCTGTGACCACAACGTACACACACTCGTAATATTTCTAAACAAGGTAAACACAGACATACGCTTCATAACTTATGATATTTTTTCTTTTTAATAAAGTATTTCTTGAAATTTCATTACTATCACGTTATTGTGTAACGCAATTACTCAATAAACACATTAGGTATAAACAATACGTGTACATATGATTGATTTTCAAAATGGAAATGATAAACAACTCAAATGGAGAATCTTAAAACTCATGAAGGAACCATTTTTTTTGGTATGACATGAGATCGAGCCATCTTGGAGTTTACATTCAGGCTGAAAATGTTGAAGTTTTGAAAACGTTTCTGTTCAACAAGAGATAAAATGACAATAATAAACAAAGCAACGAGCAAAAATAAAATAATAATCGTGAAATGTCAATGAGATTGAGAAAGAGTCTCTTGAATTGCACAGGTAAAAAAAACCAGCAACAACACAATATCAGTAAATGAGTTTCACGGTTGAGACGATCCGTAGCGATTTCGTGAAACGAACAATAAAATGCTAATGCATTAAACTCAAGAGAAACAATAAATAGCACCACACAAACAACAACAATAACAACAACACATACATACATAGAACGAATAACAGCGGCACCGAATAACGATCATCATCATCATCACTTCTCACACTCACACGACTACACTTTTGTTGGCTTTCAGGTGTTTTATTGTTTTGTGAATCACGTTTTTTTCAAGAGAGTGCCTATAAGATTGTGCCTATTCGGTTTCAATGTGTTTGTATTTATATTTTTGTGGTATTTTGACTTGGGTAAAATGTTTTCTATCCATACCTAAATGTGTATATATAATGTATTTCAACTGGTGAAAGAGTGTTTATAAATGTTGTTGTCTGCAAAAATTTAATTTTAGAGAATGACAACAAATCACAACGAAAACATGCAGCTACCAAAAACTGACCTCGAACAGATTCGAAATCACAACACATACACACTTACACTTCGATTCGTATGAACGCAAATTTTGTTTTCTTTTTTTTTTCGGCAAATATTCATAAAGTGACAATTGTTTTTTTTTTATCGATTAACACACACAAGACAATTGAACTCGTACAAATAATAAGAAATTAAAATTTAAAAATAATAAAAAAAACACCGAACACGTACACACGTTGTGTATATCTAGATAATATAGAATTAAGAGAAAAAACTACACATCGAATTACGAAGGCGCGGATAACCACGTAAAACAGATCATGTCACGAGAATATTGCACACACAACTGACGAGCTAACTGAAAGTTGGAACAGATTTTTGTTGTTTTTTTTTTTCGTTTGTAAGAACGCGCGATATATTTTGTATTATAGCAACGAATTGAATACGGTGGTGGTGACGGCAGTGGCGGCAACAGCGGCAGCAGTAGCGGAGACGACGATAGTGACGGTATATAGAAAAAAAAGAAGAAGAAACCTAATCAGGTTTTTCGCTCTGTGTATATTGCGGCGGGCGCAGAACAACCAAACGAACATCGTTTATCGACATACATAGAGAGAAAAAAACAGTGTGTATATCACTGTATAGTGTACAAAACTAACGCTATTCCAGGTTTCACTTTACGTAAGCATTTATCGAGAAGTTGTCGGAAGATTGTGTACATGTATTGTATGATCGTTGCTGCATAGGTGAGTTTGAAAGTTCATACATCTTTTTATGGTGTATTGTCATTGAAACCCATCCGATTTACGACCGAACCGTTTTTGGTTCGCTTTTCTTACTTTTGGTGCACGTCATGCACTTCTCACTCTCTATGTGTGTGTGTCTCTTTCTCCCTGTTAATTTTGTGCAACGGCATACATCGACGTATCGGCATCCATTCAGTTTTATGTTGTGCAAGTACAGCAACATACGTTATGCGGATAAAATATACATCCATCATGTGTGTGTATGTGAGTTTTTATGTTTCCACTTATGCATTTCACTTCACATGCACACATCAATTCCACTTAACCACCTCATACAGTGGTGTATATACCTGTGCACTGCGCTCTTTTCCATTCATTGCATTCGTACCGTACGCACCACTAGGTTGTCCTATTTTTTTTTTTTTTTTTTGTTCAAGTAAAGGCCAAGGCACATTTCACTTTTCTTTTTAGCTGAAACATGCAGGAAGCTTTAAATTTGTCAAAATGTGATAAATATTTTCAAATGCAAAGAAAATAAAATCGTTGTCATTTTATACGGTTTTCGCTCGTTTTTCACTCCATACAATGCGTGAGGAGTTCAATCACCTGAAAATCGGCTTGCATGGAAATTGCGGCTTTTGAATTACAACAATAATTTTCATGTACATGATATAAAAAAAATGAATGGCGGATTTCATTACACACACCGGCCAACAACAGTTTGCTTTAATCGAGTATTTAATGACAAAGCGCTCTTGTAAAGTAAAACGACTTTTCGTATTCGCCATCCACTTCTTCTTCTTTCGCTTCATCATCATCTTCTTATTTTTCGTAAATGTCAATATTATTTCAACCAAACACACTAAATTTGACATAAAAACAAAACCTGTTTCGCTTGTACAATTGTACATTCACGAAACTATTACAAGCACACAACTAATTTGGCAACCACCAATTTGTTTTTAGCCATTCTCATTTTTCTAATGGCATCAAAGAAGCTCACCTCTTTTTAATGGCCAAATTGTTAACTTGAACTGAAGGAAAATTGAATTGAAACAACCTCAATTTAATCGCCTCGGGTTAACCTCGAATGATTATTATCATTTTAAATTAAAAATAAGATCTTCCATATTCCGACATTTATATAAAACGAATTTTCCTCCAACAGTAAAAATTGATATAAACCGACATCGTTTTTGAACAATTAACGAAACGACGAGTATAGGTACAATTTTGAAGAATTTTGAAACAAAACATTAGAACTACTAGAATAACAAATGTTGTCGTATGAAATTCAAGCCACCCAATAGGAAATGGATATTAAGGAAATTTCCACAGAAAAAGAAAAGTTTATTTTGAATTAAACCGCCAACTCTTGCAATCATGGTGTGTGTGTGTGTCGCTAGTAACTGTCGCTGACAGCCGTAATGTCTATTTTCAAATCCTAACCTCAAATATTGGTTCAAGTTCGTTGATATCAAATGTGTTGATATTTGAAAATGAATTGATTTTCTTGAATCGAATAAAAGTCGGGTAAAAATTCAGTAAAAATGCGTGGCTTATCGTCTTTACTTAAGTCGAACAACATTTATGGAAAATGGAATCAACTAACAACCAAAGCGTCTTATTGTACTAAACCAGAAGTATTTAAAATTATCCAAAATGTTTTTTCGAAATAAAAAAGCAATCTTTAAGCATTTTTTGTGTTTTCTTCGGCAGACAAAACAATGGCCACGGAAAATTGTGTCTGGCATTCAGCCGACGGGAATTTTGCACATCGGTAACTATTTCGGTGCCGTGCAACGTTGGGTGAAAATGCAGGAAAGTGGTGAAAATGTCACATTTTTCATAGCAGATTTACATTCCATGACAATGCCATATGTAAGTTCGAGTTCTTCTTCGATATTTTTCACAATAAAATTCACATTCGAATATAATGCGGAAAAATGCATCTAATTTCAGGAACCAGCCAAACTACGAGAAAATATTTATGAGTTAATCGCAACATTGTTGGCGTGTGGCATCGACTCAAAGAAGTCACCGATTTTCCTCCAATCGACTGTGCCTCAACATGCTGAACTCTGTTGGATATTAAGTTGTTTGTGTACCATGCCACGTTTATCCCAATTGCCGCAGTTCAAAGAGAAATCGGCCCAAGTTCGTGACGTTTGGGCTGGTTTATTTATGTATCCCGTTCTACAAGCAGCTGATGTACTGATTCACAAGTAAAAAGAATCCAATTCAAATTCAACGCATTTTTTTAAATCAGTTATTGTTTATGTACAGAGCGACACATGTTCCATGCGGAGAAGATCAATTACAGCAATTGCAGTTGGCATCTCATTTAGCCAAACTATTCAATAATAGATTCGGTGAGACATTCCCAGTGATCAAACCGATCATTGGTCAAGATGCAAGCGGACGCATTCGATCATTGCGTGATCCAACGAAAAAACAATCAAAATCCGATCCAAATGATAAAAGTCGCATTACATTACGCGATTCACCCGACGCAATTCGGAAGAAAATCAAACGAGCCATCACCGATTTCACATCTGAAGTTACATATGATCCAACAAAGCGGCCCGGTGTCGCGAATTTAGTTGGCATTCATGCTCTAGTCAAAAATGTTAGCCCACAAGAAATTTGCAATGAGGCCAAAGGACTCGATACGGGAAAGTGAGTTCACGGAACTGAATCATTCTTTCCTATTTGATACCATTTTCATTTTTTATTTCGATTTTTATCACGGTTTTTAAGATATAAATTGGTGCTAGCCGATGATTTGGTGAATCTGCTCGATCCAATTCGATTGAAAATCGAAGACTATCTCAAAAATCGTGATTATCTGGAGGCAGTTTTGAAAGATGGACGCGATGTAGCCTCTCAAACCGCCGAAACAACATTGAAAGAAGTGAAACATCGAGTTGGAGTGAATATTCTGTAAATGTATATTTTAGTTAGAGTAAAAAAACACACATTTTTATCAAAGTAACTGTGTATTTCTTCTCAATTCGACTTTGAAGATTTATATGAAGTGGTGAAAACATGCCATTCAAATTCAAAAAGGAAAAACACACTCTTTTATCTCTCTTGTTTTGCTGGAATGTATATAGTTGCATCCACAAAATGCGTGAAACGCAATCACATCGTTGTCTTCAAACATATCATAGTGTAAATTATTACCTTGTGATAAGAATGAGACTGTAACAAATATAGCACACAGACGCACAGTGAGAATCAAATATGTCAACACATGTGAGTTTGACATTTGTTTCATGCTGTGTAGGTCGTTGATATACAGCACATGACATGGTCACGCATACAACGATATCCTTACATCAAGCGAAACGTCAAACGTTCGCAATATAATTTCACCCAAAATTTGCTAGTTGTGTTTAGTCGACTGAATCTCTCGATTACACGGCTTTATTTTTCGTTGTTTATTTTCCGTGTATCGTTTTCATTATTTTGCCGTTGACATATCGAAACGAATTGAAGTGAGATTTTGAAAATGCAAAACAATTTAAGGAAATTGGTGACAATCGGAGCTAAGGTAGAGAAATTGAAATTATGCACATAATTCATTGAAGTTATTTTTTTGTTCATATCATTTAGCACACACATTCAACATTCTTTATTGTTATGCAATATAACACGACCTTAACCATAACCTCAAATGGTTGAAGTCAAAAATTTTGTTTTTTTTCCCTTTCGTTCACCATTTTTTACGAATTTATTTTTTTTGCGTTTGATGTTTCGATTTTTTTAATGATTGATTTTGATGTTGAGCAAAAGTGAATTGAAATAGTATGAACTCATCCATATTTTTGATTATGTAATCAAAATGCGAAAAATTAATTTGATAATATGTATATATATTTTTTAATTGTGTGTATATGTCGTGATTATAGAGCTCGGTCTTGATCGGTTTCCGTAGCAATTTTGGTTTATTGGGAACTTTTGGCAATCGTGCCTATTCAACGCAACATGAAGCCGATTTGGTGGTGATTGGTTCAGGACCCGGAGGATATGTAACTGCCATTAAAGCTGCTCAACTTGGTTTTAAAGTAAGTTTCAACCAAAAAATTATATAATTCGAATGTCATCAGTTTGTGTTTTTCTCTTTTGTGTGCATCAGACCATCAGTGTTGAAAAAGAGCCAACTTTAGGCGGAACATGTTTGAATGTTGGATGCATCCCATCGAAAGCATTATTGAACAATTCGCATTACTATCATATGGCCCATTCTGGTGAGCTTGCTAGCCGCGGTATAAATGTTAGCAATGTTGAACTCGATTTGGAAAAATTGATGGGCGAAAAATCAAAGGCTGTCAAAGCATTGACCGGTGGTATTGCTCAATTATTCAAAAAGAATAAAGTTGATGTTGTTCGCGGTTATGGTACAATCACATCACCAAATGAAGTTTCCGTACAAACTGAAGGTGGCGTCGAAACGATTCGCACACAAAACATCATCATTGCGACTGGTTCAGAAGTTACACCATTCCCTGGCATCGAAATCGATGAAGAGCGTATTGTTTCCAGCACAGGCGCACTTAAATTGCAAGAAGTACCAAAAAGTATGAAAACCATTATCACACAGTTTTTCATTTCGTTATCAAGTGACCTAATTTTTTTTTTAAATTCGATTTGAATAGATATGTTGGTGATTGGTGCTGGTGTTATCGGTTTGGAATTGGGTTCAGTATGGTCACGTTTGGGTGCCGAAGTAACTGCTATTGATTTCCTCGATGTCATTGGCGGTGTTGGCATGGATACCGAAGTATCGAAATCATTCCAAAAAATCTTGGCTAAACAGGGACTCAAATTCAAACTTGGGTAAATTTTGAACGTAAAAGTTGAAAAATCATGACTCAATTTAACTGATGATGTCTTTCATTTTTTTTAGCTACAAAGTAACCGGAGCTTCAAGATCTGGTGACACAGTCAATGTGTCATTAGAAAAGAAAGATGGAAGTAGCAAAGAAGACGTCAGTGCCGATGTTGTTCTCGTGTCAGTTGGCCGTCGTCCATACACACAAAACCTTGGATTGGAATCCGTTGGTATTGTTTTGGATGACAAAGGCCGTATTCCAGTTAACGGACGCTTCCAAACCATTGTACCAAGGTATTACACACATAAACTCACTTTTTATTAGAAAATATTATTTTTTTGCTCGTTTTTTTTCAGCATCTACGCTATTGGTGATGTAATCCATGGCCCAATGCTTGCTCACAAAGGTTTGTTCCTCTTTTCTGTGTGTGAGAGAGATAAAAATCGATTTTTAATTTTATTTTTTGTTCAAAAACCAGCCGAAGACGAGGGTATCATTTGTGTTGAAGGACTTAAGGGCGGTCATGTGCATATCGATTATAATTGCGTACCAAGCGTTGTTTACACACATCCAGAAGTTGCATGGGTTGGTAAATCGGAGGAACAACTTAAAGCCGAAGGTGTTGAATATAAAGTCGGCAAATTCCCATTCTTAGCCAATTCACGTGCCAAAACAAATAACGACACCGACGGTTTCGTGAAAGTGCTCGCCGATAAAGCCACCGACCGGATACTTGGAACACATTTAATTGGACCCGTATGTTTCGATTTTTCCTTCTAACTATACCATTGACTTAATTAACTTTTGATTATTCGATTGACAGGGAGCTGGTGAACTAGTCAATGAAGCAGCGCTTGCGATGGAATACGGTGCTTCCGCAGAAGACGTTGCCCGTGTCTGTCATGCACATCCGGTATGTTTATATGTTTTTCGTATTGAGAGAGAGAGAGGGGGGGGGGTGGTGTGTTGAGAAAAAAAATTATCAGTTTTTCGCCGAGAAAATATTTTTTCTCCCCAAATTCTCGAATTCTATAAATACACTTTCTGATGTATTGAGTGGTGTAAATAATGTTCATCTCCATTCAATTTTTCAGACCTGCGCTGAGGCATTGAGAGAAGCAAATTTAGCTGCATACTGTGGAAAACCAATCAATTTCTAGGCGAAGCCACATTTAAAATAAAACTCACTTAAACTTAAACGACGAATAAATATTAATAAAATACCAGAAAACAAAACCAAAATGCTGCACTTGATTTACTAAAGTGACATGTCCTTTATCTAACTGTTATCTACTTTCATAAACAAAACATATGCTACTCCATACTCATTCAGATCCAAGTTCCAATGACGAAGACCTTTTTCTCCTCTGGATTTCATAAATTGAAATAATAATGTTATACGTTTGTATGTAAATAAATTAACCCTCTAATGCATTAATTTTTTTTCGACATGAGACTTATTTTTCTATGATTGTTTTGGTTTATAATTCCTTAAAAAAATAATCGAAATTCAAAAAATCGCATGGTTTTCTCAAAAAATGCTATTGACAAAATTCGAGAACAATCAAAACCATTGTTTAAACTGCTATAAACAAAGAAAATGATAATTTCAAATTTCTGTTTTCGAGTACAACCGTGTTTATAATTAAACAACCGATTTACATCCAGTTGTCAAATGACCGGAAAATGAAAGCCTGAACCCTACTGAATGTATTTTAATTCATAAATGAAATCTTTTTTTTTTTTAATTATATATTTTAGACAATAATTTATACACCATGCCTAAAGGCAGGGCTATGCACTAGAGGGTTAAATAATAAAATCATCAGGTTGGAAGTTCGTTTTTAGTTACAACTTTTTTTATTCTTCTTTCGCATTTCATAACAATAAAAGAAAAATTTAAATCATTGAAAAAAATCTTCATAAATAATATAATAATAGTTTTTTATCTGTATTATAAATTCAATGCACCGCTCTCATAAACTTCATGCAATATTGTTGTCTTCGATGGAAAAGAATTATTCATTATTAACCATCTGCCTTTAGGCAGGGTGTATAAATAATTGTCTCAAATATATAATTAAAAACAAATGATTCTATTTATGAATTAAAATATATTCAGTAGGGTTCAGGCTTTCATTTGCCGGTCATTTGACAAGTGAAAATAAAGCGGCTGTTTAATTATACACACAGATGTACGCGAAAACAGAAATTTGACAAAAAAAAATATTCCTCTCTCCGTTTATAGCAATTTTATAGCAGCTGAAATGACAAACGCCAAATATATACGGACCTACGGCAGTGCCATTCCAGCGGTCTTCCGTGTTTTTCATACAAGCCTCCCATGTAGATAGTGAAAAATTGCGAAAAATGAAAAAAATAATTAAATTTTTTTCTTCAATTCTCAAATACTACTCAACTTTCTGTATCACTTGGTGAAATCAGAATGAAAAAAATCGCATTCCATATCATCTAAATCACGATCTGGACTTTTTTCACTGTTTGAGTGCTCTATACCGAGTCTCCGGGAGTTTCATATAAGCTTGCTATATGATGCCTATTGAATAACCTTATATGTTGACATTTGATTTACATTCCAGTTCATGTTGAAGATTTTTTCACGACTTTTCTGATCGATCTCATAAAAAGCGTAAAAATTGGTCTTTTTTTTAACTCGTAACATCAAAACCAATTTTTTCTATTCTTAATACCAAAATCAATTTTTTTTATTCGTAACATCGTAAAAAAGCATTTTAAATTGAAACACACGGCAAGCAATTTTTCAAAATGTAATACCAAAACAAAATTTATTGAAGTGTAACACGCCGTTTTTCATTTCAATAAAATTTGCGTTGGTACTACAATTCAATGAAATCTTTAAGATTTTTTACACATTTCTATGTTCTCAGGAGAAGACTCACTTTCATTCTCGGACATTCATATGTTTTACCATGATTGTATGCTACATTTTTCTTGTTAATACGAAAATATCACAACAATTTATTTAAAGAAACAAAAAACAAAACAAAATAAGTGCGTTAAAAATTGAATTTTATTTAAAAATGTTGTTGTCTGAATAGTTTTCATAATGTTGTTGTGTTTCACTCATACGGCAAAAAATGATAAACACATTGATACAAATTATGAGATAATGGATGTAGTGATACTTAAATCTTATCAAATCGAAATAAAAACTATATAAGTCACGTTTTCACGACGGTTACACGTCAGATGTCTTTTGAGTTAAAAGTAAAAGGTATTTGTTTTTTCTGTTCGTTGGAAAATTTCCATTCAAAAAGGTTATAACACAGAAACAAGTATTCGAGTACGCTTACTCGCACTTGCGGTGTTAGTAGAGACTTTACCCCTCAAAATGAGTTACGCACTCTATTTTACTCTATTTTTGTGTTAGTTTCATCGAACGTATGTGACGATACATTTAGCAATCATATTCGTTAGCGTATACATAGACTCATATGCAGACAACAAAACATAACTCGTTGAATGCGTTTACTTCGATGAAACTAACACCAAAAATAAAGTTAAATAGAGTGCGTAACTCATTTTGATGGGTAAAGCCTCTACTAACATCGCAAGTGCGAGTAAGCGTACTCGAATACTTGTTTCTGTGAAGATATAGTGTATCTTATGAAGTGATAAGGATTAATCAAGTTTTACATTTATAACCCAATTTTATTTTGAAATTCAAACTTAAATTAAAAGTACATTCATGCAAAAATGCTTATAATCACTTTATGGGATATTTTTACTAAAAACCATTATTTTTTTACTTGCTAGTAAAACTAGTAAAATTTGCGTGCTGGAACAAAACCAAATGCTTTATTCCAATCGCGTGTTCTTTTCAATTCAAGCATTATGTCTATCATGTGATTCAATGGCAATGCTTTATTCATTCGACATCTACGATACTGTTCCAAGGGAACACGTGCATGACGAATATTCAATTCTTTTGCTTTGGCAATTGATATTGGTTTTTTATCACCGCGATCAACAATGCTGCTAATTACGTAATGATCATCGTTATTGTACTCTCTCAATACGTTTGGTGAATCGGGCGTGAGTATGACGAGTTTTTCTTTCGGAAAATCTTCCGATGCGTCAGCTTCGTGTATTCGTAGTGGTAGCGGTTTTGTAGTAATTGTTGGGATATTCTTCAGTAGTAATGACCATAGCATACTTTGTTTGTCCATGCCACAAAAGTTAAGCGCGTATGGCTGATGATGTTGACGATTATTTCCAAAGACCATTGCCAATTGTTCAGCCGCTTCTTTATTTTCACGTTGCGTCATGTAGTGTGAATAACTACAATCAAATATGTATAATACCCAAATGTTCACGCCACAATATTCTGTAATAAATGTTTTTTTTTATTTTAAATATTGAATCAGTAGAAAATTCACAACAAATTTACCGCATAATTTTCCATCTGTCAATTGTTCGGTTGTAAATTTTTGGTATTAAAGATATTTTGCCAAGTCCATATTCGAAGTGTTTTTGAACAACTGCTGGTTTTTTTTTTGTCAAATACACCCATTGAAGTTTTTTCTTCCAGAACATTTTTCCGGATACCTTTTTTTCCTATGAATGGAATTGAGAGTGTTTTATTTTTGTACAATTTTTTTTCTCTGTGGTATATTTTGTTCATTCAGTTAATTTGTACATACCGAAGTGGTGGCGTTTGATATTTCCGTTTTATTTAAATAGTTGTAATATTTTATACGTTGATTATTTGATGAATTCATAAGATGTTGGTATCGTTCAATGGTGAGTTGTTCTACTGTTGGCACACTTTCACCTTGATCACGTTTCAAGGTAACCTAAAATTGAAATAATATTAATTTTCGAAATAAAAACACGAAAATTGTCACAGATAATTACTTCATTTTGAAAGAACCTAATACGTTTTTGTTGCGCCTCATCCAGCGCAGATATCCACTGTTCTACCTCATCGGGATTCTTAGAATAGAAACGTAACTGACTTGATACAGCATGTATAACGTTCCATTTCGAAGCAAACTGAATTCGCGTTGACAATAACATTGTTCTCAACATTTTCTTTCATTCAAACCTTAGAAAAATTGTTGAATATTCTTATTAAAACTTGAACCAAACGACACTATCTTAACCGCATGGCCAACTGACAGCTGTCAGATATGTATTTGACAAATTACCGTATTTGATATTTGGTAGATGTAAATACGGCACACAATTTGAACGAGAGCTATTGAATGTGTTCACTGTGCATATATGTCAAAGCATTGTCATTTAAACACCAATGAACATAACCTCACAAATGACACATCAATTTAAAAACGCATGAAGATCATTGTAATAAAGAAAAACATTGTGAAATTCTGAATTCTATTTAATTTAAAATAAAAATGAACATGAATATTTGTAGACGATTGTTTTCAACGCTGAATAAATTGTAAGCAATTAAATATTCTAGAAATTGTCGAGTGAAAATGTTATTACAGTACATTGCCAAATGTCGACACACGACCAAATGTCGGAATACCGAGAGGTGAATTGAAATTAAAAATTGAAAATTCATTTTAATTGCATTTTTAAAAGTAAATTATGAAAGATCAATATCAAATCTCTTTATTATAATCCAAACTTTAATCAAAAATCTATTATTGCTTTCACAAATTACGTTCAAAAAAAATTAGTCATTTCTATCACTTTTTCACGTCAAAAGTTAAACTATGTCATTTTGAGACAAGCCGGTAAAATGCAATTTTTTATATGAAGAAATAACTAATTTTGAAAAAAAAAATATGCCTGCGAATTGTAGATAGTTTAATTTAGTTATTGAACAGAAATATTGAAAATATAAAGAAAAAAAATTATATTTATTTTTCATTTTTCACTGTAATATTATTCCGGAATAAATCGTCCAATTGCCGACACATAAAGCACCCAAGTTTCAAGTGAAATACTTTGAATTTGACAGATGTGACAGTTAAAGTCGATATTTGGATCATTGTGAAATTCAAACCAAAAATATCATAGATCAGTGAAATAACGTAATATTTTTAAATATTTTTGCCATTTTATTATGAAAAAATAAATAAAATTAATTATGCAGCAAAAATATATCAATCTAATAATTTTAACTCCAATATTTTGTATTTTTTACCTCAATGTAAAAAATGCGTTCATGAGCTGTCAAAACTTAAAGTAGTTCAAGCTTCGCAGTGAAAATTCATGAAATATGTCGAGATTTGGGAGCCGAGAATTGGACGATGAATATCCGACATTTGGAATTTTCGATGTTACGACGGAAACAGGAAAATAATAATATATTTTTGGAAATTTCTTTCTTTTGACAAGTGTGAAATGAAGCACAATTAAATTCTGCATAGAATTGTGTATAGAATGATATTATTAGATGAAAACAAAAGTGTTAAATATCAAATTGTAGCTGAAAATTCAAACAAATAGTCCGACATTTGGGCGAGTGTCCATATGTGATAAATAAAAAATCAGTTTTTTTATTTTTAGGTCTGTGCTCCAAACAATAAATTATAGACCGGTGCTAAGTATAAATTCGAATCAAAAGGCTGCCTTTTGCAGTCATGAATCCAAAACTGGAGTTAATGATGAAGTATGTATTAACTATTGTATTGTGCCAGTAACAGTAATTCGGTTGTTAACCATGAATATTATTTATGCGATCTTAGAAACCAAAATTGGGTCTACGAAGACGAAATCTCCAGCCATATCCACATATCGATTGTGTCAGAGACCTAAAAAATGAAAATTATTCACCCTCATCACACAAACTCGTTAAGTATGGTGAACACGATTTTTTACAGCGATTTGATGGATATGTGTGTGTTTTTATAAGTGGATATCATCATCCACGTAATCTTGATGCCAAGTCAGGGTATTCCGTCTATTTTAATCAAGATCATCCATTGTAAGTTCTTGAAAGCGGCATGAGTTACTGCCAATATTTGCATATTAAAAAATGTTCTATATTTATACACAATGTATTGTCTATAGGAATTTGCAAGGAAGTGTTGAGCGCCGGCAATCTAAGATCCATGCAAGACTATATGCCGTCTTGAAAGCAATGCAACAAATTCCAAAAGATTCCTTTAAGAAATTGTGCATTCAGACCGATGATCTTGGACTGATTACGTTTATCGATCAAAGCTTACGAAGCATGAGTGAAAATTCATTTCGCAGTGTCTACACCGGCAAATTAAATAAGGACGTACAAACATCCATGGAATTAAATGAAATTCTTAGATCGAGACAAGATCTGACATTGCAATTAATGTTTTGCCCGAATGATATTTGTGTTGATGGCATGTACCATGCAGTAAAAATGGCAGAACGAGCTGCTGCCATAGCTACAGAAGACGCTAAAAAAACAGATAATCGATTGTAAATTTATTTTACAGTAAATAAAATCAGAATAAAATTAAATGAATAAGTTTTTCATTTGGAAATGTATAATGACTTTATTGGATATTTTTACTAAAAACCATTATTTTTTTACTTGCTAGTAAAACTAGTAAAATTTGCGTGCTGGAACAAAACCAAATGCTTTATTCCAATCGCGTATTCTTTTTAATTCAAGCATTATGTCCATCATGATATTCAATGGCAATGCTTTATTCATTCGACATCTACGATACTGTTCCAAGGGAAGACGTGCATGACGAATATTCAATTCTTTTGCTTTGGCGATTGATACTGGTTTTTTATCACCGCGATCAACAATGCTGCTAATTACGTAATGATCATCGTTATTGTACTCTCTCAATACTTTTGGTGAATCGGGCGTGAGTATGACGAGTTTTTCTTTCGGAAAAACTTCCGATGCGTCAGCTTCGTGTATTCGGAGTGGTAGCGGTTTAGTAGTAATTGTTGGGATTTCCTTTAGTAGTGATGGCTAGTGATATTTCTAAAGGCTGTTGCCAATTGTTGAGCCGCTTCTTTATTTTCACGTCGCGTCATGTAGTGTGAATAACTACAGTCAAATATCAGTTTTGGGCGCCCAAATGTTCATGCCACAATATTCTGTAATAAATGTTTTTTTTTTTTTTTTTAAATATTGAATCAGTAGAAAATTCACAACAAATTTACCGCATATTTCTCCATTTGTCAATTTTTCGGCCGTTAGTTTTTGGTATTAAAGCATTTTTGTCAAGTCTATATTCGATGTGTTTTTGATCACCTGCTGGTTTTTTTCTCGTCAAATTCACCCATTGAAGTTTTTTCTTCCAGAACATTTTTCTTGATATTTATTTATTTATTTATTCACCGTCTGATCACAGACTGATTTTATCACAATTATTTACAATATCATTTGCAATGAAACACTACCCGATCGAATACCAGCCGCCAGTCTTTTCGACTTCGGAGCAGCAGATATCGACTGTGTCCATTGTAAATTACTATTCATAACAAAATTTTTCTCAGTCTATTTTACCGAATATTAAATAACAAATTGTCCAATTTAACAATACTAATTCTAAAAATGCTTCGCGATGCTGATTCCAAAAATGTTTCTCTTATTAAATTAAAATTCCTACACGCCACGTAAAATGGTTGACTATGTGCATATTCAGCTGTAAACGTTCTTACTCTAATAAGTTCAGTATTTCTTAAGTTTCTTTGGTTTACGTCATATTGAAGTCTTGTGTAAACAATCTTATCTCTAAGAGACGTAAATTAAAAATACAGAGGCATTTATACGCCGTCTCCAAAGCGGTTGAATATTTAAAGTATCACATCTAAAATAATACGGTGGCAATACAAAATTCTCGTCTCTTTGGTAAACAAATCTTAATGTCCATATCACAAAGTCTTTCTGAACTGATTCTATTCTATCTGAGTGTATACGGTGGTATGGCTGCCATACAATACTCGCGTATTCTAATTTTGATCTGACAAGTGCACAATATAATATTTTCGCCGTTTCGATCGTGAACTTATTTTTTAGTGTCCGTTTTATGAATCCCATAGCCACATGTGCACTAGCTGTAATCGCATCGATGTGATTGACAAACGTTAGTTTTTTGTCGAAAATAACGCCGAGATCCTTGTGTAAATTGATTCGTTCAAACGTGTGTTGTCCGTTGTTGATCGTATATACGTAGTCGATTGTGTTTCCACCTTTTGAATACGTCATTACAAAGCATTTCTTCAGATTCAGATATAGGCTGTTTTCAGTGCACCAATCATTCAACTGATCAATGGAATTTTGGAAAGTAATGGCATCACTGGGCGATTGTATTTTTCGAATCAATTTCAAGTCATCTGCAAAAAGTAAGACAAGTGCATTTGACACGGTTTCGACAATGTCGTTAATAAAAATAATAAATAGACATGGTCCCAAAATACTTCCCGCAGGTACTCCTGATGAGACAGTGAAAGTACGTGACTTTCTTTCGCCGATTCCAACAAACTGTGTACGGGCTGTCAAATATCCATGGAACCATTTGACTAGTCGTCGGCCGAATCCAAATTTCACCAGTTTCTGTAGCATTCTTTTGTGGTTGACCCGATCGAAGGCCTTCTCGAAATCGGTGTACAACACATCCGTTTGACATTTTTCGATCATTGAATCCATCGTGAAATTTACCATTTGCAATAAATTTGTTGAGGTTGATCGACTTTTTACGAAACCATGTTGATTGTGGTTGATTTTTGCTTGTACAAATGTGTCGATTTTACTATACACAACAATTTCGAATAGTTTGGCTATTGTTGGTATTATCACTATTGGCCGATAGTTCGATGCGTTGCTCTTTTTACCAGACTTGAATATTGGTACAATCCTGGAATTTTTCAACGCTGACGGAACACATCCTTGATACAATGATTTCCGAAATAGCACTGTTAACGGGTTTGCCAAAGATTGTGCACAGTTCTTCAGTAGCTTCGGTGATATTCCGTCAGGACCGGCTCCTTTATTCACATTTATCGATTGCAATGCCTTCAATACATCGTGTTCATTGATTTCGATATCAAACGAAAGATCACTGCATTCACTCAGCAATTGATCCAAATCGATATTATCGTGTTTTGGATTTGATTTGATTTGCGCTTGTATACGGCCGATGTACGATTTGAATAGCTGGCTTTGTAAATGGACGAACGAATCAGTGATGGTGTTGTATTCGTCGAAATTGCCAGTCTCCCTTGCTCGCTTGTATGCTTTCCTTCTGACATTTTTCATGTGCTTCAATTGTTTCGTGTACCATGGTGGATCAGTGCTACTTTGAACGGTTATCTTCGGGACAAATGAATCGATCGCCTCTTGTAGAACATTCCTAAGAGTTAGAAATGCATTCTCGAGGTCATCTATTCGATTAATTTCTGACAAAATGTCATTTCCAGCAAAGAATTCGTTCATCGAATCGAAATCGGCCGAGTTGTATGCATATTGTTGCGAAGATTGCGGTGATGTGGACTCGTTTTCATCAATTGTGATTTCGATTTCAATTGCTTTGTGCCAAATGTCGGACTTTATCATTGGTTTAGTTGATTCAATCAACGACATTTCATAAAACTTGTTTGTGAAAACAAGATCCAAAACATTTCCGGCTGGATTCACGATATTTGACATTTGGTGAAAGCCACAATCGAACATTGTGTCAAAAACAGCAATGCCACCTTCTGTCAATACGTTAATTGGCAAATAATACTCACCGTCATCGGCTTTGACCCATTTGACACCTGGCTGATTAAAATCACCACATACAATTACAATGTCATGTTCGTTGTATGGAATCAGCTTGACGATCTCAGCAAATTCCAATATATCTTTTTTTCTCTATGAATGGAATTGAGAGTGTTTTATTTTAGTACAATTTTTTTTTCTCTGTGATATATTTTGTTCATTTAGTTAATTTGTACATACTGAAGTGGTGGCGATTGATAATTCCCTTTTATTTAAATAGTTGTAATGTTTTATACGTTGATCGTTGATTATTATCGAATCGATAAAATGCTGGAATTGGTGTACCCCAAGCACGTTGTCTTGAAATGCACCAGTATGGTTGTGGACAGCCTGTGATTTTGTTTGAAAAATATTTAGCGGAGATGCATTGTATATATAGATATATTTGTGACTCGAAACAAATGATTATAGATTAGAAACAATGGTTTGCCATCAAAGGAATCATCATCAAAGTATCATAAATAGTAATGGGTAACTAGAAAATTCAAGAAAAAAATGCACAATAACTTTCAGCATCCTGTGATTGAATATTCACAAAGACCAAGGAGGAAAACTACTGCTACGACGCAATTCATCAAGTATTTAAAAATGCAATCATAAATTGGATGGAATCAAATTAAAATTTCTTGATACCGAAGCCGTGGTCTATCTGTGTTATGAGTCAACTCATAACAAAATAATATTTAGATTCCGTATAATTCCGTGTAACTTTATAGTTTATAAAATATTATCATATCCGTACTTTTACTTCCTCGTTGTAAACCATATAAATATCAAATCAATTTTATAATAAAGTAGTTCAGTTTTAGCAGTAGAACAAGCGTCT